TGGGCCGGGCCAGGGGGGCTGGCCGACTGGGCCAGGTGGGCTTGGCCCAGTTGGGCCAGTGGGGTTTCCTTCCCCCCTCCCATTTTTGTTTTCTTTGTCTTTTCTTATTTTATTTTTTTTGTTTTATTTTACTTAGTCTATCTAGATACTTTATAAAAATGTGTGCACTCCATCATAATTACCGATGTAATATTTGACAACCACCGAACTTTTTAGTTTTAATTTTTGAAAACTTTTATCGTTATCATTAATTTGAATTTTGAATTTCGGACCGGTTTTGAACTAACTCAAGATTAGCAACTATAATTGAGGTGACGTGGCATTACTAGCAGAGGATCCTTGTAGCTTAATTTCCCGGGCGTCACAGTCAGTGAGAGAGAAAGCAGAGTGGGAGAAGAAATTCAGCCGGTTGGGCGTTTGCGATGATATCTAGGTTCGCTGGAGTGTCTCTTTCCTTTGCTTTAACACATCTGCACATCTGTTACCTCAAAAAAAAATCTGTGCATCTGACCCAATGGCAACAAATACATTCGTCGGGAATCCTCAAAATATTTACCTTTCGGCATATGCATTTCCCTAAAAATTTGAAATGATGGATTATCGACAACTCCACAATAAACTCCATCAGTTATTTTTTTTCCTTCAGAAAAAGTAGGGTCTACCTTGACTGTTGACGCAATGACCACCAATAATTGCAGGTCAACATACTCGGAGCCTGGAAGCCATCCAACCCCCCACTGGAAGCGGCAGCCAGGGGTCGCCGTCCTCCTGGAGGCGCAGGCCATCGACATCCAGATCTCGTCTCCGCTCTCCGCTCACCGGCCGGCCGGCCGGCCGGCCGACTGCCGCGGTACGGATGTTCCTTTTTCTTTCTGTAAATCTCTTCCATCCTCCCTCTTTTCATTTGATTCATCCTAGTTAACTTGGTGCTACCTCCAACTCCCCTCCTCCGAGTTTACTAATTTCTTGTTGCCTGCTAGTATTCCCAAGATAACTAGTCGGTCTTGTGCCTGCGACATGGCCCAGATCAAATCAGGCTAACTATCGTTCTGTTACCTTACACCCATCAGCGTCGGTAAAGGTAGTCAGATTAGAATAATCAGAAAACAATATTACTAGCTACTAGCATCTGTGATAAATCTATAAATTCGAGTTTCAGACATATTATCCGGATTAGATGTTCAATTTGATCTCCATATGTGTATGTGCTAGCTAGTACCAAATCAACTGTTAAGGAAAGTGTGACTCTGTATCCTAAACCTGGTACTGTTAAGATTCAACCATGTGTGATGTAAGTAAATCTAAGGAATATAATTCTACTGGAAAAACAAGACCTCCTGAGCGAAGGCTGGAGTTTGAAGTGTCTGATGCAGCTCCTTTGTCTTCTGCCGCTGGTGTTTGGGGTCTAAGGTTATTGCTGAAATCCAGCTCATCGCTTGCTTTTGAGAAATCAGAGCACAAATGAGTGTTTAAAATAACTGACGTACAGGTTGACGCTAGAGATAGGATCAGTCATCGTCAAGTCAAAATTTGGAGAACTGTCGTTAGCAACAAGATGGGAGAGCTTAATTGTAGTAAAGCACATACCAAATTTGAACACTTCTTTGTGCTACAGTTTTTAGCTTACTTGCTGTCTACTTTGAAGTGACTGAGATTTTTTTAAGGTGAGAATTATCAAACCTGTTGTGTCTTCGATGATTATACCTGTAAGTAACTAGGGAGTTGGGATGCATGTGATCTTCATTCTCTTGCTCTATATAATTCATGACATTTGCATCATCTGGTATAGTGAATGCTCTTATTTAAAGAGCACTGCACCATATTACGTATCTGCAAATGGAGTACGAAATTAGTACTGGACACAATGCTCTGGAGCGCATGTTAATTGATGGAAGTGCGGAGCCAATGGATCTGCCGTTATCACTTTTAGAAGACATCACAAATTGTTTCTCTGACGATCAGCAAATCGGCAGTGGCGGGTTTGCAGTGGTCTATAAGGTACACAACTCTAATAAGCTTCCATCTAATCACAATTGGTCTAAAAACTAAACTGGCATATGGTCACGTGACATAAGTCACACCGCCACAAGCCCGAAAAGGTTTGCAATGACAATACTTGTTTGTGACCGCAGGGAATGGTCGGAAATGAGATAGTTGCTGTGAAGAGGCTATCCAGGAATATGCATGAGAGTAAATTCCACAAAGAGGCCGAGTGCTTGATGAAGGCCAAGCACAAAAACATAGTGCGTTTTCTAGGATATTGTTCTGACACGCAAGGGAAAATTATGGACTATGAGGGGAAGATGGTCATGGCGGATATACGAAATTGGTTGCTCTGTTTTGAGTATGTACCCAACGGCAGTCTTGATAAGTATATTACTGGTAAGATCAAGACATTCATTTCCATCTTTATTTGCTTTATTATAGAGCCCAAGGATCCCACATAAACTATGCTTATGTTGCCTGACGTTTGTAAGTTTATTACTCACATTATACAATCTCTACCTGCCTATCTCTACAGATGCATCTCATGGACTTGAATGGAGGGAGCATTTTGAGATAATTAAGGGAACATGTGACGGTCTATGTCATCTTCATGAGAAGCGCATTTTGCACTTAGATTTGAAACCCGCTAATATTCTAATAGATGATCACATGGTACCCAAAATTGCTGATTTTGGCCTTACAAGGTGCCTCGAGAAAGAGCAAACCCACGTTTTTACTTCAAACCTTTGTGGATCACTGTAAGCCAGCCTCTGGGGAGCTCTCCTTTATTTCATTTTGTATAGGATGAATTTAATTTCTAGAACCTCCGCCCAGAATTAGTTAACTCAAATTTGTCTAGTTACAGATGTATCTAGACACGTTTTAGCGTTAGATACATTCGTATCTAGACGAATCTAGGTCAACTAATTTGGGATGGAGAGAGTATTTTACAGAAAGTGAGAAGTAACTCTATAAATCTTCTTGCAGCGGATATTTGGCACCTGAGTTCTATAGTGGGCAAGTCACATTTGCATCGGACATATATAGTCTTGGCGTTATAATCCTGGAGATAATGACTGGACAAAAGGGTTACTCCGAAGATAAGAATGTAAGAATAATTTAATCATTTTCTCCAAGTTAAAGCATAAAATAATAAGTTAACAATATTATCCTCTAATTTATGAATTAGAAATGACATTCCTTCCTTTTCTAGACTTGGGAGTAGTGAATGAGAAGCACTAGTCTAGAAAAGTAGAGCTTATGAATTAACAATATTACTCTACATAACTAATAAAGATGTATGATTAGATTGTTTAAGTTGTATATGAAAAAATAGAAATACATACTCCCAACCGTATAAAGTGCTTTACTATTCAATACACTATTTTGAATAGTATTGCACTATTCACAACAATATTTAATTTTTTGGTATTATATGCTCGTTCTGTATTCACTAAGCAGCTTATATCTTAATGCATGATCTATTTAGGGGCTGGCGAGGCCAACAATACGTCCGACGGTGTGCATAGAGGTGTAAAATCCTACTCAGTACTCACCATATTTTTCATTATGTTGTATTAGATGTAGCTAGTTACGTTCACTTAGTAGTTTTAATTGCAAATTTATGGGGTAAATTTCTATCGTCTTCCCAGTCAGTTCCACCTGAAGGGAACACTTCTCTACGGCCACAAGGTTCTCATTCAAACACCACTCTGGGCTACACAGGGAACTACACACGCAGAGGTTTCTCCTTTAGGATTCCTAGCATAAGAACTCCTCCCATAAATTCATAAATAAATATACCAAGTGAAACCAAGAAACTACATCATTTCCACAACATAATTTACATATGAATTTTCCTTTCAGGAGGCCACGAAGGGATTACATAAGCTAAAGAAAATTATCTTCTAACTACCTTCTTGAGCCTTACAATGCTCTGGATACTGTGACTCTTATTGCAGGATGAGGCGAGAGAGCAGCTCTGTGGATGGCTTCCGGGAGAATGCACCTCTTTATTTTATATTTGGTAGGATGCATGCGTGTCTTTCTAGGGTATTGATAAGAGCGAGAGATAGTGCCTCGACAAACTTCAATCTTCAGGAATCTTTCAAGTCATTGCTTTTTTCACGCGGGCATTGTCTCTTGGTGAATAATTGGTTGGCTCTTCTTTTCATCTTCGCTTTTCAGCGATGCAAATCTTCATGCCTTCAGATAGATTGCTTCTCCTTCGGGAATCCTTGTGCCAGTGTATGCGTACATACATGCCAAGGTTGTTTAAATATTCAACATTGCTTATTCATTTATTTTTAATTTTTTTTATAAGGGGTCTTCCCTGCCCATATGATTGATGATAATACTTTATCAATATTTAAAATATTTATTTTTAGAATTTCTATCAATATTCGGGTCGGGTATAGGTCCTCCGCGCCCGAATAATTGATAGCAATATCAATATATGCAGTTTGGACTTTATTCAGGCCGCTGCCCATGCCCTGCTATGTCCATATGATCATCATCGTTTAACATATTCAAATCATATTTTTGATCGCATTCTTTCTTTATTTCTTTAAATTTTTCATCCATTTCATGCCTTAATTCTTTTAATATTTCTTCTTTTAATTCTTTCTTTATTATTTTTGAAAATTATTCAAATCTTTTATCCATTTCTTGATTTATGTATTCATTGTGTAAAGGGTCAAGTACCTTTAGAAGGCATTCTTGATATGTTTGATATTTTGAAGACTCTTCCTTCTTTATATTTTTTGAGCTTGATGCCTCCCCCTTTGTAGGAGTTGGTGAAGTAGGTATGCCTCTTCTCATTTAGGGTCTTTAGCCTTTGGGTCAATATAATTATTTGGTCCGAATACCTTTCTTGCCCAAAATAAGGCATCATTTATACTATAATATCTTTTGAATGTTAAATCTTCTCCTTTTCTTTTTGCATTTAATTTCTCAATCATAACGTTTTTCCATTCTAAATATATACCGGGTTTATTTCCATCAAATATAATATATAATGTTTCTCCTTTTGGTATTTCAATCTTTTCTGGCTTTGGCAGATTTTTGTTTAATTCGTTAAAATATTCTGCCAAGCTATTGATATATAATCGTTAAAAGAGATGAAAGAGGATATTTGTTATCAATTCTCAATAGCTTGGCAGAATATTTAAACGAATTAAACAGAAATTTGCCAAAGCCAGAAAAGATTGAAATACCAAAAAGAGAAACATTATATATTATATTTGATGGAAATAAACCCGGCATATATTTGGAATGGGAAAACATTATGATTGAGAAATTAGATGTAAAAAGAAAAGGAGAAGATTTAACATTCAAAATATATTATAGTATAAATGATGCCTTATTTTGGGCAAGAAAGTTATTCAGACCAGATGATTATATTGACACAAAGGCTAAAGACTACATCCAAATGAGAAAAGGCATACCTACTTCATCAACTCCTACAAAGGGGGAGGCATCAAGCTCGAAAAATATAAAGAATGAAGAGTCTCCAAAATATCAAACATATCAAGAATGCCTTCTAAAGGGACTTGACCCTTTAGACAGTGAATACATGGATCAAGAAATGGATAAAAGATTTGAAGAATTTTCAAAATAATAAAGAAATATTAAAAGAATTAAGGCATTAAAAGGATGAAAAATTTGAAAAAATAAAGAAAGAATGCGATCAAAAATATGATTTCAATCTGTTAAACGACGATGATTATATGGACATAGCAGGGCATGGATAGCGGCCTGAATAAAGCCCAAACTGCATATATTGATATTGCTATCAATTATTCGGGCGCGGAGGACCTATACCCGACCCGAATATTGATAGAAATTCTAAAAATAGATATTTTAAATATTGATAAGGTATTATCATCAATCATATGGGCAGGGAAGACACCCTGTAAAAAAAATAAAAATAAATGAATAAGCAATGTTGAATATTTAAGCAGCCTTGGCATGTATGTACGCATATACTGGCACAAGGATTCCTGAAGGAGAAGCAATCTATCTGAAGGCATGAAGATTTGCATTGCTGAAAAGCGAAGATGAAAAGAAGAGCCAGCCAATTATTCACCGAGAGACAATGCCCACGTGAAAAAAGCAATGACTTGAAAGATTCCTGAAGATTAAAGTTTGTTGGGGCACAATCTCTCGCCTATAAAAGGAGGCGTTTGCTGCGAAGAGAGACACCAGATGGAGAAGAACCACCAGCCACCGATAGAGCAAAGAGATGCGACCCAGCTAGCAAGCTCGTTGCTAAGTAGTAGTAGTAGTAGTAGTAGTACTAGTAGTAGTAGTTCCTCATCCTGCAATAAGAGTCACAATATCTAGAGCATTGTAAGGCTCAAGAAGGTAGTTAGAAGGTAATTTTCTTTAGCTTGTGTAATCCCTTCGGGGCCTCCCGAAAGAGAAATCCATATGTAAATTATGTTGTGAAAATAATGTAGTTTCTTGGTTTCACTTGGTATTTTTATTTATGAATTTATGGGACGAGTTCTTATGATAGGGATCCTATAGAAGAAACCTTTGCGTGTGTAGTTCTCTGTGTAGCCCAAAGTGGCGTTTGAATGAGAACCTTGTGGCAGTAGAGAAGTGTTCTTTTCGGGTGGAACTGCCTGGGAAGACGATAGGAATTTATCCTGTAAATTTGTAATTAAAACTACTAAGTGAACGTAACTAGCTACATTTGATACAACATAATGAAAAATATGGTGAGTACTGAGTAGAATTTTACACCTCTGTGCACACCGTCAGACGTATTGTTGGCCTCGCCAGCCCCTAAATAGATCCTGCATTAAGGCCCCCTTTGTTTGGGCTAGAGATTGCTGAGAATCAGCTGCCACTTGGATTCCAAAAATCCACTACAGCTGTAGATTTTGAGAATCCAAATCTGAATGTTTGTTTACCCCGGTTTTGGAAAAACAAAATGTTGTGAAGTGTCTACAACGCCCCTGATGTTGTGGAGTGCAGGACACCGGAGAGGGGCGGCGTACGCAGAAATCGGGGCGGTGTGTTGATAACCCACAAGTATAGAGAATGGCAACAGCTTTCGAGGGTAGAGTATTTAACCCAAATTTATTGATTCGACACAAGGGGAGCCAAAGAATATTCTCAAGTATTAGCAGCTGAGTTGTCAATTCAACCACACCTGGAAACTTAGTATCTGCAGCAAAGTGTTTAGTAGCAAAGTAATATTATAGTGATGGTAACGGTAACAAAAGAGTAACGAAAGCAAAGTAATATTTTTGGTATTTTGTAATGATTGTAACAATAGCAACGGGAAAGTAAATAAGCGTAAACCAGTATATGGAAAGCTCGTAGGCATCGGATCAATGATGGATAATTATGCCGGATGCGGTTCATCATGTAACAGTCATAACATAGGGTGACACAGAACTAGCTCCAATTCGTCAATGTAATGTAGGCATGTATTTTGGATATAGTCATCGCTTATGGAAAAAAACTTGCATGACATCTTTTGTCATACCCTCCCGTGGCAGCAAGGTCTTAATGAAAACTAAGGGATATTAACGCCTCATTTTAATAGAGAACCGGAACAAAGCATTAGCACATAGTGAATACATGAACTCTCATCACTGGTAAGTATCCCGATTATTGTCACTTTAGGGTTAACGGATCATAACACATAATAGATGACTATAGACTTGCAAGATAGGATCAAGAACTCTCATATATTGATGAAAACATAATAGATTCAGATCTGAAATCATGGCACTCGGGCCCCAGTGACAAGCATTAAGCATAGCAAAGTCATAGCAACATCAATCTCAGAACATAGTGGATACTAGGGATCAAACCCTAACAAAACTAACTCGATTACATGATAAATCTCATCCAACCCATCACCGTCCAGCAAGCCTACAATGGAATTACTCACGCACGGCGGTGAGCATCATGAAATTGGTGATGGAGGATGGTTGATGATGACGACGGCGACGAATCCCCTTCTCCGAAGCCCCGAACGGACTCCAGATCAGCACTCCCGAGAGGTTTTAGGGCTTGGCGGCGGCTCCGTATCATAAAACATGATGAAATCTTATCTCTGATTTTTTTCTCCCCGAAAGCAGATATATAGAGTTGGAGTTGGAGTCGGGAGGTCTCCAGGGGGCCCATGAGGTAGGGGGGCGCGCCCTAGGGGGGGCGCCCCCCACCCTTGTGGAAAGGGTGTGGGCCCCCTGGTCTTCATCTTTG